TTAACATGCCATGTTGAATGGAAACTTTAAGTTTATACATTGAGGTATTAGTTTAATATTATTCATATATTTAATATGAATACACTATGTGTACTTAATATATTATTGAGTACGATTATTTCAAAAAAATATATTAATATGGTAACGTTATCAGTTTTAATTTCGGATGTGTGGTCAATTTATTGGAATATAACAATGTTCATTATGTAAATTCCAAAATGTAATTCGTAGTATCACATATATAAACCAAATGTTTTCTGGGCATAAATATACAACTGACTTCAAACGATTTCTGGGCATAAACGTACAACTGACTTAACATATATAATATCAAATATGTCTTTTTGATGGGATTAATAAAGGTATTTTTAGCAAGAAAACACCTTGAATCATCTCTACCAAAATGTTATTGAAGGCATTTTTTACCAAAATCGCCTTCAATAATCCCACAAAAAATTTTATTGTGTAGAATATTAAAGGCGTTTTGGACAAAAAATACCTTTAAGCATCCGTTCTAACTTTTTTGTATGGATTATTGAAGGCATTTTAAAAAAAATCGCCTTCAATAATACCAACTAAAAATTAATTGAAATGATTATTAAAGACATTTTCCTACCAAGAATGCCTTGAATATCCCTAACAAAATGTTATTGAATGCGTTTTTGGAAAAAATCGCCTTCAATAATCTGACCATTCAAATTTATCATTTGAATATATTAAAGGCGTTTTGAGCCAAAAACACCTTCAAGAATCTGTTTCAACTTTTGTCTATGGTTTATAAAGGCATTTTTGACAAAAACTGTTTTCAATAATCCTAACTAAAAATTTATTTATTTGATTATAGAAAGAGACTTCGGCCAAAAATGCTTTCAAAAATCGATTCCATATTTTTTCTATGGATTATTAAAGGTGTCTCTCTATAAAAAAAAGGCTTTCAATATTCTCTCCAAAATTTTTTAAAGCAATTGGTGAATGCATTTTTGTCAAGAAAATGCCTAAAATAATCAATTATAAATAATTTTTGCACAAACCCAAAAAAGGCTAAAAGAAATGATCGAATTTACCACCTTATGGTTAACAATCATATGATCCTAAAATTTTGATATGATATTTATTGAAGCCATTTTTGACTAAAAACGCTTTCAATAAGCCTGTGAAAGGTATTCAATAAGCCTTCAATATAGTCTATAGTCGAAACTACACATGCACAACATAACTCAAGAGGCCATTGATCTTGAGCTTCATAATCATCATCTTAATGTTGCCATTCATCAAAATGAGCTAACATGTCAACATCCATGGTGAAATTTAGGATACCTTAAACAGAGTCCACAATGAATTTACTTTGAAAGGACTCACCTTAACACCTTTTGATTTAAGGACATGAACAACTTGGTTTTAGAATATTCAAACCTTAAGATTTACATTATATTAAGGTTCTGCCAAAGCAAAAATATAATACTGCAATTCAATCAATTAAAAAAATGATGAATTCAAGTAATCATAACTTATGTAATTATAGATTTAGTCACAAGTTCGTGAAATAACACCTCCTTATCAACATCTTCAAGAGAACCAACTATAAGCTTTGTGATGTCAATTGAGAATGGGTCATCAAAGAAAATTTCTCTTGATGAATAATCATCTGAAGCTTTCCCTGATTGAATCCAGAACGACGGCACAATCCTTAGCATTTCTACAAAACGGACCAAGCTTATCTTGTTAAAAAGAAAGCATAAAAAACTTATCAAAATGTTACCCCTAGAGCAAAAAGTGGCGGTTGGATATTGCGAAGATTTCTTATATGCTCATTACGCTAGTTTGGCCAACTATGCCAAAAGTTGGCCGCAATGCTTTCATACCACACTGAGCAACAGAGTAAGTAATGGAGCCAGCTATTTCTAAACCAATTGCAAATAGAACCATAAATGTAATGTAAATTTAATTTCTTAGATGAAGATGCCTGAATTTCATTAGAGAAAAAAAAGCCATCTATGGTATAATCTACTCTTGCTATCAAATAAAATGGTTTTAGATCTGTTTGCACACTTATGGATGGATGGATGGACTATACCAATCCATACCTTCTTGTCAATCCCACTGCAATTAAGGGACTTATGCAAATAAACCTTTTATATACAAACATGGGACTTATTTTTTGAGATTGGGTATCACTAATATGCTATAATCTCTAATTACTAATCCAAAGCAATCTTAGATATGCAATATCCATATACCACTTATTTCTATTAAAAATAACATCTCAAATATGTAGTTTGTGATTCAAAGCAAGAACCTCACAATAATATACTACTTGCTTCTATTGAATATATGCAATATACTGTGACAATTAATGTTCTTCACACAATAGAACCTCAGAGTACAACCATAGCCATTCAATCTGAAATAAATCATATAAAAAAAGACATTGAATTTGAAATAAACCATATAAAAAAATTACAAACAGATCAAAACAAATCAAAAACCACACAAATCCTACCAATTTTATGATATTATATTGAAAATCCAAATTTGTTTTACCGTACAAAATTTAAGAAATAACTAAAATAATCGAAATTTATATCAAAAGACCACATATTTACACTATCCACTAACTTTTAACTAAATCCAGAATAATATTCAACAATACCTATACAAAAAAATAGTAATTAAACAAAAAACACAAACCAATCTACAAAAAAACCAAATAGATATTATCCATACAATATGCAACAAATATTTTAGACAAATATTTAAGAAAAAAAAAAACCAACATACAAACCTCACAACATAGTACATATGAAAACCCTAAATTCAGATAACCCCTAAATACAAATAACACCAACATGCAAATCTCAAAATAGTTTGTTTTCTATTTTCGAATTATCTTTTAAGCTTTGTTAACGTCTGAATGAAATCCATTAAAAAAAAACATTACGTTGAAAAATTTTTGTTCAATAACAAAAAAAACCTAAAATAAAAAATTAGAAAAACCCAACCCCATTCAACAATTTATCACTATCAAACGAAATTGAAATCTATAAGACTAAAATCCTCAAAAAAAAAAAAAACAAAAAAACAAAACTCACATCCAATTAAAGAATAAAAACAACCCAAAAATGCATAAAAAAAAAAAAAGAAAACCTAAAACAAAAGACAATAAACAAAACACATATCAATCAATGTGTTTCGCGTTAGCATTTGTCTTTTTCAAACGAATGTGTAATACACTTGGCAAATGCAAAAGAAAATAGAAGCCACCTATGAACTTTCAAAGCACAAAATAAAATAAAAGCACATGTGAACATACAAAGCAAAACATTTAGAAAAAATACACATGTCATCATCAAAATCCTCAAGGATCATTTTTATATAAGATAGTGTATATATATATATATATATATATATATATAAACCCTACTTTCTCTTCAAATTAGAAATCTAAAGCGTAATTTTAAGTTGAAAATCCAAATTTTAATTGTCAAGTGTCAATACCCATATCCCTATAAAGATATCAATTGCATTGCAAATTACAACCAAGTAAATAATCTTCCACATACCAAGCACTATGACAAAATACTTAACTAAATAACTCTATTGATTATATAAAGCATCAAATGAAAAGGCTATGGTACCATAAAAGCAACACAAGGCTTAAGATTAGAAGTTATAATACTTTTTCCTTGAGATTTGCTTGGTAAAAAGAATGAAAATAGATGAAGATGAAAAATATTTTAATTTAATGGTTAAACTATAGAATAAGAAAATAATTATAAATTTTAATCATTAGATTAACAAATCTTTTATTCTCACCCATTTTCATCCTTTCTCCCAAGCAAAGCCTAAATTTGTTTTTCCCCTTTGATATGAAACATACCCTCAAGCGGTAGAGTACTTTTATATTGGACTACCTTTCAGTATGTTATTTATCAATTCTTTTTTGCTTATTAATGATAATATTTTAAAGTTCAAATCCTAATTTTTAGTACTGAACTTATATTGGATTAATTTACCTTTTCAATTAAGTCCAATAGGTTTTGCTTTCAAAAAAGTTAAAAATGTCCAACAGGTTTTCCGGCATATCGTGTATGTGTGTGGGAATATATATATATATATATATATATTGGGGGTTCTTATAATTTGCATAGAAGTTACATTCATATAGGAATTGGATACTATTCCATATATTCAAATCCTTCCCAAAAAAGGAGTAATTAAAATGAATAAATATATAAAAAGAAAGAATTTGTACAATCAACAATGTACTTTTAAAGCTATACAATCTCTATTTATACTCATAATTAGCTCCTCTTTTAAAACATTATTATAGTGGACTCACTATATATTGTCCCTCTCGCTTTTCAAAAGCGAAATTTGCTTATACATATTCCTTGAATTTTGACCCAACGTGGTCCCGTAGATATATGGTGAAGTTACAAATTTCATTGATCTTCATATTATTAAACTGTTGTTCCTTATCATAGTAAATGTCAGGCTAAAGCAGTTTTCAAACCAATTTTTTGTACCAGACTTTAGAGATTACTCTTCCCATCAGCTATTTCAGTTGTCATACAAAGGAGAGAGATTGGGGAAAGAGAGAGAGAGCATTTTATTTTCTCCCTGAAGTTCATGCAAATCATAATGGGAAAAGAGAAGCGAATCATCTTCTTTTAAGAAAGCCAAGCACCATTACAATATAATTAAATTCTCTAAAAAGCAAAAAAAGAAGACAGTAAACGATAGGATGAAAGCATCATCATCACCAAAGTGCTACATTGCTATAATTCTTATCGAAAAAACATGACAAAATGATAAGGGACTAATTGCTTGTGTGGTGATCAGCAAAGGGCTTTTAACACCATGTTTCTTCACCCTTAGGAATTCAAGCACACCCCAAAGGAATATATAATCAAGAAAAAGCAGTAATATTGATCTCATTTAGTAGTTGGTTGCAACACCTACAAAAGTCAAGCAAAATGAATGAGAAATTAAAACTTCAAAGAAAAGAAGAAGAAGAAGAAAGAATTCTTGAAGAATAAGGTGAAAAAATTGTACCCAAAAATGGATAGCATGTTTTTAGTATCAAGTTCTATTGTTAAAATCCCTTGGGGCGCTGCATCTGAAACATTCCATCCGGCTAGCAAAATTGTGCTCGTTGCAACCTGACCTGCAGCATTCATCCATCAAATATAGTTTAAGTTGCACTGAAATTTCCATAAGAATAATTAGTAGAGACACGGTCTTTTTCTTTTCTTTTCTACTAAAAAACTTGGAACGCTTATATGATGAAAAAAGTTGATATTTTGGAGGTTTTCGAGTTCAAATCTGTAGAAGTGCAGTAGACAGATATTGAAAAGAAAGGTGTAACAAGAATTCACCTGGTACATATCCAGTCGCCAGATTTCCAACTTGATCGATTACCCCCAAATCCTCTCGAACGTGGAATGTCACAGTCAAAGCCTCCAGCAGAGTCATCCTTGAATGCACCACATGTGAAGCAGCTCGAACGGCTGGCGAAATTGTGTGTGCCACAGTTTCCAGCAGTGCAGTACCAGTCACCAGGTCGAACATCAGAGCCGGTGGTGAACCCAAATGAGGAGCCACCCCTCCCACCGTAGCTACCAAAGTCACCAGACCGAGATTCCCCGCAACGTTGGCAGGAGTCCCTCCTTTGGAAGTTGAGATGTTGGCATGATCTGCAGTTCCAATCTCCTGGCCTGCTCATGTTTTCTTCTACACTGAAAAAACATTTACAAATTCAACAGGTGATAAACAGCAACTAATAAAAGTACAATGTCTCAAAAAAAAAAAAGATTTGAAAAAAAAAAACCTTAGTTAGAATAATAGAAAGATGATGACTTCAATTGTACAATGAAGTGGGTGAAGTCGAAGGAATCCTTGAAGGAATGACTCAAGAAAGGGCTCTTTATATACAATATTTAGACCACTGAAAAAGCAATAAATGGAGGGCTGTGTTTGAGCTTTTTCGTATTCTTCACATTTAGCCTTGATAATTGAAATAATTTTAAAAAAAAACACTAAAGGAAGAAAAGAGATAAAGGAAAATTCCAGCTATGATTCCAAAGACGAGAAATTTTGAAATTCTGAATAAATGTTTTTCTTTGATATGATAAAATGCATATTTTCTTAGATAAATCTGGATATAAACTCAACGGAAAATTTCTTGTAAAATTAAAGTGAGGGAGTAAAAAATTTTTCACTTAATATCCCTATGAAATTACGTGGTTTAAGAATCACTGTTTCCAATTGAAGTGTAGTTAGAATATTTATTTTTAACAGAAAAGATCATTGTTTTTTTTTTCATAAGTAATGCATCAATACTCACAGCCTACAGGCTGCTAAAACCAAACCAAAGTGCCTATGGCATGAGATAATATGGTAACTTTTCAATTATTATCAGCCACAACTCTCCAAACGGTTAAAGCAATATGTTTAGGGTTTTAAATACCAAATATTTATGACGCTAACTAAACCCTTCCAGGGATCGGGTTAGATCAAATTTGGTGGATCTTTCAAAAGGTTTGCTCAAGTCTCAGCCCATCATGCTTAGAGATCCAAATTTCTTTAAAAAAAATTAAAATTTTAATTTTTTAACTATATATTAGAAATAAAATAATATATATAAGTTTTATTAATAAAACAAAATTTTGAGCGAATCGGACCAAATTCAGACTCCAAAACTCGTGTTCAGGTCTAACTCTAATTCATTAGTTTCTCTTCTACCTATATAATACTCTTGTTTCCAATATAAAACAAGTCAAAGTGTTACTTTCTGTTAGTTAAAAATAATTCAAAATCAACCTTTTGAACAGGCTGAAATTTTGATTTTTAATTAAAAATATAAGGAATTTTATGCATAAGCACACATACAAGTGGAATTTACAAATTTAACAAGCATTGACATGAGATAACAATTAAAATGGGAATTGGCAAGTGGGATCTAATTTGGGTTAGTTCACTTTGGATTTAAGAAAATTTAACCATTTCGGTTTAATTGGACCGTTCTAAATTTAAATTTTTTAAATTTGAAAATTTTTAATTTAAGTTATTCGAGTTAGACTTTTAAAATCAAATCAATTTAAGTTGAATTAAAATTGTTTTCAAGTACAAATCATTTCTCATTTGTTCTAGATAGATTAATATTGTTAAGTTTTTTATTAAAATAAGTTTAGTCATTTCAGTTTCGGATAAATCGAACTAGTTCTTTGGATTTGGATTAGTTTTGCTAGCTTTAAATTGCTAGTTTTTCTAATTCATTTTGCTCGAATTTTGAGTCATAACGTCCTATAGCGTAGTCAAACACTCGAACTCAAGACTGATAGCGACCACATTGATTCAGTCATGCATGCCTGGCCAGCAGACCAACAAAATGAGGATCCCGAATAAAGCAAACAGGAGATCCTGTTAGCCCTAGAAGCGTACAACAGATCTAATAAAAAAAATGCTGTTCAATCAAGTGAAACCGTGAACCTTAAAAAGACTCTTTGACCATTAGCATCTGGGACCCTCCTCTAGTGCGGCCATTGCAATTGCGATCTCAGTCACCTCAAGCAAAATGTGGGCAAAAAGAAACTAAGCCAATGTGGCTGCGTTTCTTTTGACAGTCCAAGAATCCCTAACAATCATTTCTTGCATGTAATGCATATTCTCAACATTAAAACCTAGGCAGGCAGGGCCATATCTTATCTCAATTATTTTGGTCTTGTCTCTTTCAATTATACTTTGGAGAATCAACAACAACGGCAGTCAATATATACGAGTAAAATTGTTGCTGCTTTACATATTTGAATATTCTCCTTTTCCTACTTAAAGCTCCAATGGAGTAAGGAATTCTCCTATATTTTTTCATCAACCCAAACAATTGTTTATTTTTTTAATGTGCATTTAATTTTGTAGGACCATTTTTAATCTTCCTCAAGGACTCTTTTGAAATTAAACCCTAAATATATGTTGCACTTATATATATACATATATATCACCCTACACAATAATTGCTGTCAATACTATTACTAATTTTCAATTTTATCGAAACTAATCTTATTGTTTATCCAAATGGACCCTAAATCTCTCTTGCATTGCATGCTAGATTCTAAAATTTGGCACAATCTATCTTGCCTCAGTATATAATTCAATTGAAAACATAAGCAAATTAAAAGTTCTTTTAGCTGTTTGGTTAAGGTCATTTTCTACCAACGTGGGTTTTTGGCTTTTTTGCTCTTACGACTGGAAATAAGGGGGCTCCTTTTTAACATTGTTTCAATGTTTTGGTTATATGGGGTTAAAGAAGCCAATAGCTTTAGTCTTTTGAGTTGCTAAGTTTTGTTGTGCTGGGTAATACTGTGTGTTGCTTTATTTATTTCCTGAGGATGCTTATCCTTTACGTATGGGTTTTGGTCTTAAACATGGGCTGCCAAGTGCTAAAGTTCAAGATTGTGAATTTGATCATCTACCTAACCAGAAAAAAAAAAAAGAGTACAAGTTGAATTTAACATTGATTATTAAAAAAACTTCCTTCATCTTATTTATATATAAATGAATCTTATTAACTAAGGAAGGAATTACTTGGATATTATTTTAATTATAATATCAATTAAGTTGGTATCACTCTTAAGTCAAACTTTTTTAAATATAGTAAAGATAATTAAATGAAGTTCTGTGATTATAAGGGTTTTGGAAACTCATCTCACCATATCTCCTTTTCCTTTGAACATTGGTGAGTCATATATAGTAAGAGAAAAAGATTATAAAAGGAAGCACATAAATGGAATCATCATGCATCATATTTTTAGAGGGAGAGAAAAGAAAAGGGAAAGCAAAAAGAGAGAGAAAAAGGAAGAGCAAATGGTGAGTTTCAATAAAGATAGAAGCTGATGATGGAATAACAAGTCCTTCGATCGAGGTTTTCATTTTGACCATCTTTTCTCTTTTCTGCGGCTGCTTTGTTTGCGAAGGGAATAAATAAGATCTGGCTTCCATTCTCTTGGAGAAGGGTAAAGGAAGAAGAGAGCAAACTGTAAAGAAAATAGCAAAGACAAGTGGTTGGGAATCGTTTCCGATGCATGGCATGACCACGACCAATCTTTTACATTCTCCTTTACGTGTCTTTTAATTAGGAAAAATGAGATTTTCTTTACCTGTTTTCTATGTTTAATTTTTGCACAAAACAAAAATGTTACTGTTACATATATTTTGGGAAGAAAAAATTCAAGATAGATAGGTTTTTCAATCTTTTAAATCAGGACAAGATGCATATACCTAACAACCTAAAACAAGTGACTGTAATAATCACCGACAAGACTCGAATCCAAAATTTATTTATAAAAAAGAATAAACCTTAATCAATTAAACCAATAATTTGAATTTATCTCTTTTAAAGAAATATATACACTTATTATTTATTTAATTATATAAGGATTCGAATGCAATATGTTATATCCATTCATACATATTTGAACAAAAAAAATCTTTGTTTTTGCTTTTTAAATTTTTTTAATTAGAATCAATTTAATTTAAATGTTTTATTGTTAGTCAATTATTCTTTATTGTATTTAATCCACAAATTTGAATTTGATCATTAAAATTAAAATTCAACATTTTAATAACAAATTATACGACGGTTGAACAAGCCAATCATTCTTTAATAAAAGCAATTCAATAGAAATTAGAACTATTCCCTATCTATAAGATAAATCCTGTTATTCATAATTATAAATAAAACTTATAACTAAATAAAAGATACTTTCAAATGGCAATCTGGAATATAATTAGTAAGGATTTTGTTTTCATCCAAAAATTGTTTAGACATATATATAGATAAATAATGCACAGCATTTCATTGCATGAATAATAATTCCATTTCACACGAAAAATGAGGCATAAAAGTGCGGTCACAGTTCAACGTATAACTCCACAAAAGTACTGCAAGGTCCATCGAACTCATTCTAGTTTCTCTTCAGGAATCGCCTTCTGGTAAATACCACAGAGGCAACTATTATCAGTAAGATGCTCTCTTGCATGCTGCCTATGGACCCGTCCTTGAACTCGGACTCCAACAACCAGTTGCAGAAGTTCCCCAGAAAAACCCAAAAACACATTCAACCTAGTGGAAAGGGCTCAAATGATAAGCAATGATCTTTTGGTGGGGAAAACATATGTAACATTTTTAGATTGATATTGAATTCAGAAACACAACTCAATTTATGATCTATCTATAGATGGTATAAGAGAAATGCTTTACCAAAGAGAAATCTATCATTATCGGTAACACTTTTAGAAGTATTCTAATCCTAAACGTGATAGACAACTTGAAACAAAGTCTGCAACACCCGAGAAAGAACATTGCTAGCCTGACATTTTACATTCTCTTAACAGCATTGGTATATATGCGATATAAAGAGCAATGAAGAAATACTATGGGGGCAATTAATGGAACAGGCTCATTTATTACTCACAAATTGCATGGAGAAGAGGATTGCTCTGCAAATTTTATTAAGACTGTTTTCGGCTTCGGCTCCCAGGACCAGAAAATGCCTTCATACTGATAGGATCAGCTGAATTATGCAAGTCTCTCTGGCCAACCAAAGCAGTTCCTCGGAATCCATGAGATGAAGCATGATGAGGAGAACTTGGTCCACTCCCCTTTAAGGCTTCAGTCTCCAAAGTCTTAGCTTCATTTTTCAGCATTGCTAACTGTTTTAACAGAAGTTAGTAAGTCTCATAAACAGATTGCAGAGCATAAAGAATTTGACAATATCATAAACC